TCTTGGTGTTTTTTTTTTTTTTAGAGAGAATTGCTTTATTTATTTATTTAATTTGACCAGATTGAGACAGAGCAAGAGAGAGAGAGAGAAAGTAAGAAAGCAAGCCATCAGGTCCAGGACTTGAACCACGGTCGGCCATGTGGGAGTCCAGCACCCTTAACCACCATGGCACGGAGCCAGCCCGATTCTTTATGCTCTGTGGTTATGTTTGCTCAGGTGGTCAACTTGTGTCAGAGGCCCCAGCGAGAGGCTGCATGGTACTCGCTGCCCGCCTGGCCTTTGCGAGGGCTTCACCCACTGCTGCCACCCTGGATGGGCGACGGCTGCTTGGGGCCAGCCTCGCTCACCAACAGAGAGACAGTGGGGAGGGACCCGTGATCTGGATTTGTGGACAGAAAGCCTCTCTGTACCCTTTCCAATCTGCAGCTTTCTAGTAACGTTTAAAAATAGTTGTGTTTAAAAATAATTGTGTTTGCGGACAGCAGGTGGTGTGGTGGTTGAAGTGCTAGGCTCTTACGTGGCCAACTGGGGTTTGAATCCTGGACCCGGCAGCTTGAAAATCGCACCAGGTACGCGTGTGGCCAAAATCTCGAGAATGGGGAGGGGACTGCATTGTGGCCATCTCCCCCACCCCGTGATTTCTCGCTTTCTGTCTCTCTGTCTTTATCTCTCACAAACGCATGTGCCTCATAGCAAAAATCTCTTTCAAAGAAAGAGTTAAAAAGAACTAGCTGTTTCTGGGGCCAGCAGCGGTGGCACAGTGGTAACCATATACTCAAAGGTGCTGGACCCACGTGGGAGGGTCCCGGGTTCAGGTCCAGAGGCCTCTGTACACGCCGCATGCCTCCGGGGTTGGCAGAGACTGGGGTTGTCTGTTGGGCGTGTCTGTCCGGCTCTCTCTTGGAAGAAAGGAAGAAAAGAGCCTGCAGGTGGTTTCCTGCCGCTGACCTGGTTTTAGTTCTTCGCTTAGCCCCAGGAGGATGGCGCTGTGAGCTACCGGAAGTAGAGGAAATGCCCTGGCTTAGTGTGTGGCTGGGTCGTGGCAGGTCTCCCCTTCCTGGGTCACCCCTCCTAGACGTCTGTGCACCTCTCTCCCCGATTGTCACTGTGGAGCGCTTCCCGAACAGATGGGGAGTGTTCTGGTTCCTACAGTCGCCCTCCGCCCTGCGAGCCCCGCCCCTCCGAGCCCCGCCCCTCCAGGTTCCCTCCTGCCCTCCCTTCTGAGTTCCGCCTCTACTAGCTCCGCCCCGCCCTCCCCTTCGTGCCCCGCCCTTCTGAGCCTCGTAGTGCCCTCCCCTCTGAGTTCCGCCTCTACGAGCTCCGCCCTGCTGTGCCCTCTTCTCCACGCTCCGCCCCTCCGC